GTAAAATAACCAATGAAATTGTTTGTGAAAAGGTGTTTTAAATTTCACAATAGATGTAACTCATCTTTTATTTAGATCCACTCACTTCCTTAAGATTCTTGTTTTCCTAGAGTTTTCAGTTTAGTCAGAAGGAGTAAAAATACACTTATTCATTAGAATATGGCAGATACGCAGAGAGGCTTCTTAGAAGAGATGATGTCTAAACAAGAGTCTTGAGACTAGAATTGTCCTTAGTGTATGGCAGGGAGAGGTGATATTCCAGAGTAGAGCAGCAGCAGAAGCAAAGGCATAGAGGCGTAAATAGTGTTGACTCTGAAGTTGGAATAGTGGGAAATAAAATTGAGATGTGTCTATGCCATTATTTAAAAAAAAAATAACAGCCTCATTATTATATATTTCACATACAGTGAAATTTACTCTTTAAAGTATATAATTCCTTTGCTTTCTGTGTATTCATTTAACTGTATCATCATTCTAAAACCAAACTCAGTGCTCTCCTTTCATTTGCAACTTATACCAGTCCTATAGAGTTTCCAAGGCTGTCATCTTTGAGGCAGCTAAGAAGCTGATTGCTACATCTTTCTCCCTAGCAACAGGCTGGGGAATGCAAACCACTGAACTTTTAGGTTAGCAGATGAGCATTTAACCACTGAGCCACTGTACCCACCATTAGCAGTTTCTTTGTGTTTCCCCTTCCAGTTCCTGTCAACCACTCATCTATTTCCATTTTCTGTGGATTTGCTTACAGTGAACATGTCATGTAAATAGAATAACATAATATGTCATTGTTGGATTTTTAAATAAGGGAACCATACAGTTAGATTTGCATTTTTAGGAAGACCATGCTGGCATAAATGAGGAAGAGGGATTATGGGAGTCAGTCTTGGAGATACAGAGACCAGTTAGAAAGCTATTATTGCAGTACTGAGGGGAGGACCTGAACTAGGGCAGATGTAGTGGGGATGGAGAGAGAGAGAAATACTGATTTGAAAAGTTTTCAGAAGTTAAAATTGTTTAGAGTAAGAGTAAAAAGTCTAGGATGAACCCCAGGTTTCTAGCTTAGAATCAGTGGAAAGTGGTCCTAGCAGCTGATAGAAAAATATAGGTAGGATATCTTTAAACTTTAATAAAAAATATCCCCTGAAGTTTTTAAAAAATAAAGAATAACATAGCTTAACTAAAAAGTATCTGTCTTGAACATTAAGCTCTTTTAAGATCTATTTACACAGGTTTAAATTGACAACAGCAACTCCAAACATTAGCTAGAAACATGAAACCAGTGAGTCTATGTTAAAAGTGTAGGAACAACTCCGAAAAGGGTGGTGGTGAAAATTGTTGCACAATTTAATATTGTTGAATTATATGTGTAGAAACTGTTGAATTTGTGTGTATTTTGTTGTGTATATTCTCAACAACAAAAATAAATTCTTAAATAATAATGAAAAGCTTCAGGTTTGTATGTATGGAATTCAGTATGAGTAATCCATTTCAGTGCCTTAAAATTTACTAGATACACAAATCTGAGGCTTAAGAGGAAAAAGATCAAGGCTAAGGATATATTTGGGGATTGGAAGTAGGAGTGGCATCCACTTCCTAAGCAACATGCCTCTGGAAACTCTATGAACTTTGATAAATATCAATAGTTATGGAAAGGCTTTAGGCCTTTTGCTCTTAGGGTTGTTATGAGTTGTGTGGCAATCAGCAACAGCAGCAGCATAGAAGTGATAATTAGAAATGTGGAAAAGGTTCCACCATATAGCATAAAGAATAGTATGAATAGACTCCAAATAGTTATAGACCTCAAAGAACCTTGAGAACATTTTATTTATGGGATGGAAAGAAGTCTCTTTATTAGGATCTGTAGAGTAGCCAAAGGCAGAGAAAGAAATCCAGAAATGTAATGGCATAGAAACCAGTGGAGAAGAATCAAAAAGGAAAGGAACCAGCCTCTAATTGCTAGCCATGACTACGACGACCTTACTCAGCAGTTCCATATCCCAGGACAAACACTATTCTTGAGTCATGTAAAAACACTGAAGGAATGAATGAGCAATGTCTAGAGCAGACAAATTAAGTAAGAGGATTAATTTTGTTTGGGGGGGTTTAGTTCAATGGAGGTCACTGGCATTCTCAGAGATCGTACTTTCAGCAGAAGCCAGTCAGGAATGAGTAGGGGATAAGGAAATAAAAACAGCAAGTGATGCCTGTACAACTTCTCTATCCCAAGTTCCCTTCAAGGGCAGGCGCAAGTAGTTGGAAAATATCGTACGAGCTAATCCAGGTCAGGTTTTTCCTATTCATTTTCTTCACTATCTCAGTTGCTGATGGGGAAATGCTGATTATTTTACATAGGGAAAATGTTTTCAGGAACCCTGGGAGGGCTGTGGACTAGAGGTAGAATGCACTAGGCAGCTTTGCCCCATGTGAGGCCATGATCATCCCTGCCTTAGACATTTGACTGCAGCTAGAGAAATCACTTTTTCCCCATTGGGCAGTTTGGAGTGACTAGCAGGCCTCCATAAATTTGAAGAAGGGGCAGGAATGGGACCTCTTTAACAAGGGCAGTTCACTGTGGTCCTGTTTAGCTTCTTAGCTGCTTGCATGCAAATTGGCTTGAAGGATGTTTCTGAGGATTGTAAAGCAATTAGTAAATAGGACTATAGACTAAGCCTTGGAGACAGTTGGTGAAATAGGAGGAGGAAGGGGGTGAAATAGTTGACATATCTGATCTGCCATTGCCTCACAGGCTGGTGCCCTTGAAGCTCAGGCTGATTGGCTCAGGGCTTATCTTCTCACAGGCAGTCATGGTCAGGGAGCCAGAGCTAAGTGAGGACTGATGGGAGGGCCAGATCTGGGACAAATAGAAGGACTGTCTCTGTGTCCTGGGATCCAGAATCAAAGAGAATGTGATGGAATCACAAGCTCCTTCCAGCATGGGGAAAGAGGAAGGGAATCATGTGATCAAATCAGGACCAGAGTAATGGATTGATTTGCACTTGATTGGAGTAAGCAGGAGGTAACCAAATGTTAAGGCTGGAGAGGAGAAGGATGGTTAGTTTAGGTCAGATCGGGCCTTCCTGGCTCTAGAAATGTCCCTCTGAGCCAAGGATCCCTGCTCTCTGCTGACTTCGGAGAGAAAGGGTGAGGTGCCTCTTGAACCAGAACCATGTACGGCTATTTTGACTGCAGCTATTTGGGGAGAGCTCGTTGGGGCTTTGTGTTTATTTATAGGTCATTTGGGTTCATCTTTTCTCTGGAGACAGCATTTGTTCAGTGAACATGTCCTGAGCCTCTCCCCTGAATTTTGTACTGCAAGGAAGGAAAGTGCAAACTAGAAGGCTTTAAGGGCCTGTTGATGTTTATCAAATCACAAATCAAGCTTATCTGTGACAAGTTTGGTTGGATCTTTGCATACAAGTTCCAGGGAAATAGGAATGTCAGTTAGATAAAGACAGCAGAGGTTGGTTGTGATCTTATGTTGTTAGGTGAAATTTAGTAGAACTCATAGCAACCCCTGTGAACAACAGATCTGAACCCTGTCCTGTCTTGTGCCATCCTCATCATGTCTGACATTGCTGCAGTTACTGTATCAGTTTATCTCAAGGGTCTCCCTCAACCTTTCCAAGCTTTCCATCTCCAAGGAATAACCTCTCCTAGCAACACACCCAGAATTTGTGAGATGAAGCTTCGTCATCCTTGCCTCCAGGGAATACTCTGGCTTTTCTCCAAGACATATCCATTTGGTTTTTTTGACAGTCCATGGGATATTCAGTACTTTTCTCCATCACCACAGCTCAAAGGCATCAACCCATCTTGTCATTCTTATGCATTTGTCCAGTTTTCACATGCATGACAATTTATTGAAAAGACCCTGAACTGAATTAGGCTCACCTTAGTCTTCAAACTGAGATCATTACTCCTCAGTTTGGAGAGGTCCCTAACTGTAGGCTTTCCCAGTGCAATACGTCTCCTGATCGTCTGACTGCTGGTACTGTACATTCAAGATGAAATCATTGACAGCTTCATTCTTTTCTCCATCATGATGTTGTTTATTGGTGGAGTGGTGAGAACTTCTGTCTTCTTAATATTGAGATGTAATCCATATTAAAGGCAGTAGTCTTTTATCTTCTGCAGCAAGCATAATGCAGGGTGTTGCTAAGTTTTCCTCCAATACTGATGCTACATTCTTTTTCAGAGTCTAGCTTCTCAAATGATTTGCTCAGAATACAGATCCAATAGGTATTGAGAAAGAATAAGACCTTGACACACGCCTTTCCTAATTTTCACCCATGCAGTGTTCCCTTGATCTGTTCAAACAACAGCTTCTTTGTCTAGGTATAGGTTTTGCATGATCATAATTAAATATTCTAGGATTCTAATTTTTTTCAATGTTAGCCATAATTTGTTATGATCCATACAAATGCATTTGCATAGTCAATAAGACATACACAGACATATTTCAGGTATTCTCAGCTTTCAGTCAAGATCGATCTGACATAAGCAATGATCTTCCTGGTGCCATGGCCTCTTCTAAACCCAGCTGGAGCTTCTGGCAGCTATTTGTCAATGTCTAGACGTTTTTGTAGGCTTAAACACATGGCCTGTTCTCACATTACCTGAAAAAGTCAGACCTGGGTTTTGGGTCTCCAAAGTCTGAAGTAAAGAGTAAGGTCTGTCTTCCTCCACTAGATTGTAAGCTCTAAGAGGACAAGGCTTTTGTTCACTGAGGTACTGCTGGAATTTAGAGTCATTCCTAACACTTATGTCTGAAGCATGAAGTGAATCCTAGGGCAGCTACCCAAGATACAAGATTAACCCATGTCATTTGGCTAACTCAGAGTCTGATCACTAGACAGACATGTGTTCACCAAGGAGCAGAAGACAAAGTACTCTGTGTACTCAAAGAATGAGTACAGAGTGAATGAGGACAGAATAAGGTAATGATAATTTGGCTAAATGGTTCCCACTTCTGAGCATATCATTCTTTTCTTTGGAAACAGAATTGCCTGATAAAGAGGGATGAGTATGGGTACTCTGCAGTTGTGGCTGACTTTGGCCTGGCTGAGAAGATCCCTGATGTCAGGTGAGTTGTCCTATGGATAGTAGGGTCACAGAAGAGGGGTGCTGAAGCTAAAGGAAAACTTCTGTGACTTAGTCAAAGCTCAAACTCTGCTCCCTGAGTTAAGTCATGCCTAGTCTGTGCCCAGCCTTGGGGAAGGAATTCCTAAAGGTCTCAGATCCCACTGTATCAGCCAGTAATAATTTAATTTTCCTCATGCCACTCCACAGTTTAGGGAGTGAGAAGCTAGCTGTGGTGGGCTCACCTTTCTGGATGGCACCAGAGGTTCTTCGAGATGAACCCTACAATGAAAAGGTAAGTCTTGGGGCCTGATGGTCTTGTTCTCCTTAGAAATACTCTTAGGAGAATACATCCTGGGTCACCTTTATGTTCAGAGTGAGGAACTACATCTTTATTCTCAAGAGCGGGGCTGGTACTTGGCAGCTTCTCAGGGAATTAATTGAATGAAATATGGGCAGTAAGGCCCAGGGTTGGGCTGGGAGACATGGGAAACAGATAACCTATTCACACCTCACTGAAAGAGAAACCCAAGGTTTGACTACTCACCAGGCAGATGTGTTCTCTTACGGTATCATCCTCTGTGAGATCATCGCCCGCATCCAGGCTGACCCAGACTATCTTCCTCGAACAGAGGTAAGTTGTAGGATGGGAAGTACTTGACATAGGTTTGGGTTTGAGGCTGTGAGCCTGTTTTGTCCGTAAGTTAAGAGTTGCTGGAACTCAGACTGTTACTGCTTCTCAGGAACAGCTCTTAGCTTCTCCTTAAGCTGGCCAGAATGGGTGGGGGAATTAATGATCTGTCCTACTCATGTCCCCCATATCGCCCTCATGCCGCACCGTCTCCCCCTACACTCATCTGCAGAACTTTGGGCTAGACTATGATGCTTTCCAGCACATGGTGGGAGACTGTCCCGCGGACTTCCTGGAGCTCACCTTCAACTGCTGTAATGTGAGTGTCTTTACCCCCTAAGGGCTGGCTTAGCCATTTTCACTTCATTGGAACTGTAGAGAGAGGCTGTTACTTAAGCCTCCTATGGGGGCTTTTTCACTGGATGAGTGCCTGAGCATTCTTCCTGTCGAAGTGCCCACCCCCTACCTCGAGGCCTGGTCAGGCTCTACAAAGCTGGGGAACAAAGAAAGGAAAAAAACCCTTAAAACATTTATTCGCCATTCCTCGGACTGAGGAACGACTTATCACCCCTTACCTTGGGGTTGAAGGAGCTCTGGTTAGGTTTTATTGTCTGGCTTTGGATCCACATGGCCCTGAGGCTCCATGGAAAGGCTCTAATAGCATTAATTTTAGATTACACCGAGTCTGGACCTATTGATGGCTAAAGGGGTGGGTAGGTAGGTAGGCTTTGATCAAGTAGCTTCCAGAGACAAGTTAGCAACAGAAAGCATAGAATAAGCCAAGGTGAAATACATTTAAGGTTCCTGAATCCAGCAAAATGAAGTCTGGTGATATAGTGCAGCACAGGTTGGACAGGTAACAGAAATATTGACAGTTTAGAACCAAAGGAAGCTCCGCAGGAGATTTACAGCCTTAGAAATCAACTTGAGGACAGTATGTGGATACAAAGCATGAAGTTAGGGCACTCAGGAAAGAGGAGATGGGGGAAGAATAATAGAGTGATGTTTTTCCTGACTTTAGCCCTGGGTATCACTGCTGTGGCCTCGGTAGCCTTTAGGAATGTCTCTTAGCTGTACATCTCAGTCTCTTAAGATGCCAGGAAACATGCCATCCTTGGGGTGGGGGTTGGAAGGCTTGGCTAATAACTAGTGTGGATGTCTATAGATGAACCCCAAATTGCGTCCATCCTTTGTGGAGATTGAGAAGACCCTGGGGGAAATTCTGAGCCGCCTACAAGAAGAAGAGCTGGAGCAGTACAGGAAGGTGCAGCCCTCAACCAAGGGTAAGAGAGGGACCAGAGAGCCCAACCTAAGGGAGAATATTGGGATTTGGGCCTTCCCTTCTAGGGCTGTGACTGGAGGAGCTCAAGTCCAGGAGCCAGGGAGAAGGACTACTTGTCTTTCCCAAGTATACACACTTTGTAGTACACAGAGCTGCTCTTTTTCTTCCAGTTACTGAGAGTGGTAACCCTGACTTAATCCTACTGTTTTACAGGACTCATGGAGAAAGGACCTGCAGTGAAGCGACCGAGTTCACTGGATGACAAAATTCCCCCTAAGTCTCCACGCCCAAGGCGTACCATCTGTCTATCTCGAAGTCAGTCAGATATCTTTTCCTGTAATCCTCCCCGTACAGTGAATGACTTGGACTCCTACTGTCGGCCACGAGGTGCTGCTGCCCGCACTCCCAAGTTTAACCCTTTCAGTGCTCGCCAGGACCTCAAAGGTGGCAAAGTCAAGTTCTTTGACCGGCCTAGCAAGTCTGTCTTCTCTCTGGTATTTGATCTAAATGCACTAGGGCCTGGAACTACACCTCCAGCTGACTGGCAGGAAACCCCTGCCCCACTTGTTCGCCGATGGCGTTCTTTGCCTGGTTCACCAGAGTTCTTGCGCCAAGAGGCTTGTCAGTTTGTGAGCCGGGAGGAGTCACTACCTGATGGGCCCCCCCCACGACTCAGTAGTCTCAAGTACAGAGTGAGAGAGATCCCGCCATTCCGGGCATCTGCCCTTTCAGCTGCTCTAGGCCATGAGGCCATGGACTGCTCCAGTCTTCAAGAAGAGAACGGTTTGGGGCCCAGGTCCCATATGGCCAGTTTAGGCCCTGCAAGTGCCTCAGAGGAGATGGAGGTTGAGGAAGAAAAGCCAAGAAGCTTAGCCCCAGTCCCCTTCTTTTCCTCAGTGACAGGCTGGCAAACCCAGGGAGAGCAGGATGGGTGAAAGGGATTGTGCCCTGCTCACAGTTGGGGAGGGATGTTCAGGTGAAGCCATAGGCCCTCTTGGTGCACAGCCTTGATTTTTCCCTGAAGCCCACAGAGCAAGCAGGCTAGGCCTGGCCAAGCTCACCTCTGAGACTCTAATGCCTAATGGCTGTTTCTGAGAGAAGAGGTAGCAGTGGGAGGCCTTCCTGGTTAGGGCCAAAAGCTGATACCAACCTTCTGAAATCCAGCAAGGAGCTCTAGCTCCTACATGATTTCCCCAGTGCATTTCCCCAGACAGGATCAGAGGACTTCTAGTTCTAGGTTAAGCTGGCAGGCAGCTATTTCCCCAGATTTTTCCTCCCACCAGAGGTCTGTCTTTTGCTCTTTTCTGGGGCATATAAGCTACTGGATAGAACTTGGAGTTGATCAGGAGGCCATAAAGGGCATGGCTGTTTCTCAGACCTGAAGCCTGGGTGCTTCTTGCCAGTATGTCAAAGACACTTGAATAATTGCTGTTTGCACTTACTGCACGGTCAGACCACATCACTACATTTCTATGCAAGGGGAGGGCAAGGCAATGTGTAGTGGTCATGGCTCTTATCTAACCTACTCAAAGACCTTTTCCAATTGATTAATCTATTTTCCTATTTATGAAGGAGTCTTAATGTTCTGCCCTTAGGACTTTCAACCATGTGGTTGGGAGTGGGCTGGTTTTGTAGGCCCTAGGGCCTGCTCTATGTATTTGTTAACATGTGATATACCGACTGGTTAAGTGGTTTATACGCGGACTGATTTTCTTCCCTTCCTGCAGTGGCTGGAGCTATGGGAATAGTCTGTCCTTACAGAGGCGCAATAAGAAATAACCAAAGATGAAGCTGGTCAAATATTTTCATAACTTGTCTGTTGATTTTTTTAAAAACTTTCCCAAGACACTTTCACATTTAAAAATAAATAAAGACGGCATTACAGGCGCTGGCCGATCTTCTTACTTGTACCCTTTTATCTCAGCTTTTACGGTAAAAGGTAAGGTCCATGGCAATGTGGCCCAGCATGACATTCATTCACTGGCTAGAACATAAAACCCTTCTGGTCCACACTCAGCTACTCTTCACAGGCCCCAAGTGCAGCTGAGTCAGCTGCTGCCCCAAGCCAGCTTCATTTTCTGGCTGTGGGCTTTGGAAGAACGGGAGAACTGGCTCTTGGCCACTGTGAGGGGTACAGATTTACCACTCAGGTATACTTTGTTGTGGCATTCAGGTAGCCAAGGTCCAGAGCTGTAAGACTGGGGTCCTTGGCTCACTCTGACATAGGCCATCACATAGCCTGTCATAAATGCATCAAAGCCAGCCCGGTGCAGCCCATCCCCAGGCACTGGGTTAGGACTGGTTTCTTCACTGCCTGGCACTTCTAGGGTAGGCACGTCAGTTTCCGTAAGTCCCATCTCTACATCATTTTTGTGATCTTGCTCACAGCCAGGCTGGTTTATAATCTCTTTCTCAGCAACCTCCTGCTCAGTTTCCTCAGCCTTGAGGCCATCCACACAGATGTGCTTCTTGGGAGGACCATCCTCAGCCTCCCCAGAGGTCTGTGTCCCAGACAACCTCAGCAAAGCTTTCCGCCGTTTTTCTCGTCTTCGCCTCCGTCGCCGTTTATCCTCCACCACCGCTTCATCAGTGTCAATTATGAGGTCAATATTATGGGATCGAGGGCACTTTGGTCCCAGGGGACACCAGCCATAGGCCTAGAGGAAGGAAAGAGCCTTAAGTGGAGGGGGTTTCCAAGCATCAGACCCTTCCTTTTTCCTTCAGGAAATGGGTGGGTGCTCTTACCGAGAAGTTGTCACAGATGTTGGAGGGATGGGGATGGTGGACAGTAGGCGATCTGCAGCATCGGTAGTCAATATGGGCTCTCATGCTGGAAGGGTAGCAGCAGAACTGAAGGGTAAGGTGTGGTTTGCCAACTGCTCGCTGCTTCTCATTTTCTCGCTCACTGCAACAGCACAAAATAATAGTCTACTAGCATATAAACTTCCTATCTCCTACATCAGTACCTAAACCAGTGTCGGACACATGTTAAGCACTCAGTAATTAAATAAATGAAACAGGCTCACCAACCCCTTCCCCTCAACCATCCCTCTCACCATTTCCTGAAGGCGTATTCTAAGTAGGAGGCGACAAAGCGTGCATGAAACTCAACAGCATATTTGGTGTCATAAATGCCAGCTGGGAACATTTCATACAGGTCAGCAGTGAAGGTTCCTAGGCTCTCAGGTAAGTGTGCATAGAAGTTCTGGTACAGAAACACCAAGTCTATGAGGCCATTGTGTAGCACTAAGGGCTGGCGGGCCCGGATTAGTTCCAGAAACAGTGTCCGCACAGATTGGCTCTGGCTCTCATCACCCTGTGTGGAAGGAAAGAGTTCATAGGGAAGAACAATAGTTCCCCATGGATCCTCTTCAGTGCACTTAATCGAGGTTCTTCTACCTGGAAAGTTCTCCCTCCCTGCCCAATCCAGTGCTTTCCACCCTGGTAATTAATCTGGAAGCCTACCTTGTCATTGCCCTTGTGGTAAGGGATACCCTGGGCATACTGCCGGTTGAAGTTGAAGCCATGCTGTACCAGGAATTGCACAGACTTTGGTTCTATAACATACTCCTCTGTGCACAGCAGGGTCAGATTGAATACCTGGGCCAGGTAAGAGTGTTCACCCTAGGAGAGGAAACAAAGCTGCTATATTATGACTTGGATACCTAGTATCTCAGCCCTCCTCCTTCCAGCCACAGCCCTGGGATAGGGGTGAGATAAGACTATACCTTGTCTGGTTGCTGCTTGAAGCAGGCGAGGCCAAGGGAGAGGATAGAACGGGTCCTAGCAGCTTGACACACAGCTTTGTAACGTTCCTCGATGCACCTTCAGGTTGGTTAGGGGGTGGCTGTGCTTCAAAGCCACTCTCATGAAAGACCCAAACAACCCAGAACAGAGAGCCTCCACTCCAGGGTGAAAGTCTGCCCCTCCTACCAGGACTGGGACTAAGGGGAAGGGAACTTATACTTACTGGTTCAGCAAACTCTTCCTGTCTCCAAGCCCACTCAATTCCTGTGTGTGGGTAAAAGGAGAGTTCTGTCAGGGCCAGATTCTTCACAATGACCTGCCCCTTTGTTCCCTACTCTCACCGTGTCTACAGCCACAAAGCTTGCTGTCTTTATGGCCAGCAAGAGGGATGGCCATATCTCCTTGAAGTTGTCACTTTGCACATCCACAACAGGAACCTGTAATACTAGCTCCTCAGATTTTATGCACTGGTTGACATCACCTGGGAGAAAAGCACGAGGTGGATGTAAATGTTGAGGATAAGGCCCAAGGGAACAGTTATTGTGAGGTCATGGCTGAGGCTTGGGGTACACTTCCCTTTGTAGCAAGATAAAAGTAGCTTTCCATTCAAGTCCTGTTATATCCATGCCCTACCAGCCTTCGAATGCCTCAAACTTATTGCTGTCAAGTGGGAAGCGACTCCCATTTGGCTTCTCAGGCTGTAAGATAGAGGAGATTGCCCACCTTTCTCCCACTAGTAGATGCAAACTGCCAAAGATGCATGGCTTTTTGGTTAAAAGCACAACTCTCTACGGACTACACCTCCAGAGCTCTCTTGGAATGGACCACTCTGCCGTTGAGTCAGAACCGACTCCACTAGGTCTCCGAGGCTCTAGAGTAAACGGGAGACTGCCTGGCTTTCTCCGTGGAGCCACATGTGGATTTGAGCCTGCTAGAGAGGCACAGCCTTTGTTTTGTTTTGTTTTATTTTTGTGTGTGTTTACCGTCAAATCGGATCTGACTGGTACAAGAGGAGATTGCCCCTCCTTCTCCAGCAGAGCATCTGGTGGATTTGAACCGTGTCTGAGAGGCTGGGCTCTATGAGGAGAAGCGTGGAGGTAGGATTGGTGGACGATCTATCAACAATCTGCGTTATGCAGATGACACAACTTTGCTCGCTGAAACTGAGGAGGACCTCATGAACTTACTGCAGAGGGTCAAGGACTGCAGCCTTCAGTATGGACTGAGGCTCAATGTCAAGAAGACAAAGATTCTCACCACTGGACCAATCGGTAGCATCAGGATGGATGGCAAAGAGATTGAGATTGTTCACAGCTTCAGTTTGCTCGGCTCCACGGTCAACCAGTAGCTAGGAAACGTATTGCGATGGGAAAGTCTGTGGTTAGGGACCTCTCTAAAGTACTCAAGAGCAATGGTGTCTCTCTGGAGAATAAGGTGCGCCTGATACAGGCCATGGTTTTTGCAATCACTTGCTATGCATCAGAGAGTTGGGCAATGACTAAGGAGGACAGAAGGAGAATTGACGCCTTTGAGCTGTGGTGCTGGAGAAGAGTATTAAATGTACCATGGACTGCCAAGAAAACAGACAGATTCATCCTGGAGAGGGTTAAACCAGGCTGCTCTTTGGAGGCAAGGATTCTGGGGCTTCCCCTGACATACTTTGGATATGTTGTAAGGAGAGACAGGTCTTTAGAGAGGGACATCATGCTGGGTAGAGTAGAGGGACGGCGCAGGAGGGGAAGACCCTCTATGAGGTGGATTGATTCAGTGACTGGGGTAATCGGGATGGGTGTGTCAGAGGCAATGAGATTGGCACGGGATAGAGCACGGTTTAGGGCTGTTGTACATAGGGTCGCTATGAGTCGCAAACGACTCGAGGGCACATAACAAGAAACCTCTAGGATTGTAGTGCAACTTCTTGCCACTAGGCCACCAGAGCTCCGAGAGGCGCAGCCTTTGAGTTAGCGCAAGTCTTTACGGACTACGCCATCTGGGTTCCCTTGGATATCAACAGATCTTTACTTTGAAGAGCGGAAGCTTGGGCCTTCCAGTAGTTTATATAAGACTATGAGATAATTCCTCTCGGTAGGGGTAAGTATCAAGATCTGTCGAAGAGGGATTATCTTTAAAGTTCCGTCTCAAATCTTGCAAGTAATATTTGCAGGGCTTGCGGATTTTTTAATACTTAGAAGGTTCCACACTAGTTTTCTTATGATGCTCCAGTATCTACAAGCTCCAGTACCAGTACGATCTACGGTCTCTTAAATTATGCCCTACATCACAGTTCCTACTTCCGCTGGACCACAACTCCCAATCTGCCCCGCAACTACTAAGACATCTGAGCAAAAGCTCAGACCACATCTCCCGAAACTCCCACACTTCCCCTGAGTAGATGCTCAACATCCCAGGCTTTGCAGTCCCAGTCGCAATGCACACCGGGACTTGTAGTTCTCTTGATTAGTTTGGGTCTGAGCTAGTTCTCCAGGGCCTGAAGGACGATTTCGAGAGCTATGCGCCCCAGGCCTTCCTTTCCCCGGAATGCACAGGTTTTTAAGACGGCTCTGGGGAAGTCACTTACCGTCAGAGGCCGCTGGAGCTGAGGCTGCGCCATCGCTACTGCCGGCGGCCATGACACTACACGTCTCTCCGCTTGAGTTACTTGTGGATGCGCAGGACTTCCGCTTTGTTTTCAGGCTCAGCGCTCTTAATCGGGTGTAGAGGCGAGGTCTCGTTCTCAGTCGGCGAAGGTTTAGACTTTGGTCGGATTTACGAAGTCTGGCGCTGCTTGGTCGACCCGGAGACTATTGGTTGGTGGCGGTCGGCTCGCTTTCCGGATTGGCCGGGGCCACGCCCCCTGGAGGAGAGTCTAAGAATCTGGCGCGGGAGACAAGGAGGAAGGTAATTTCTGTCCCCTACAAACACCCGCAGGACCAAGGAACCTAAACTCTTAAGTGTTCTTTCTCAACACAGCCTGGGGAAGTGCTAGTGGTTTGTAGGAGGGCAGCGGTTAACGAGATCTTCCCAGAAGAGGTGCAATGGCTCAGCTCAATTTAATGCACGTGTAAAACGGGGAGGAAAAAAAGGTTGTGGAATAAAGTGTTCTGGGATTGGGCAAGTAAATTCGAAGTCTGGAGAGTGGCTTCCAGTAAGCGAAAGGTGGGGAGGGGAAGAAAATCAAGGGCGGAGATGGGTTAAGGTTTTTGTAGGGAAATAGTGATGAGGACATGCATTAAGGTCTAGCTGTACAGTTTTGGAGCAATTAAGAGTACACTTTGGGCATGTCGTCAGGAGGGACCAGTTATCAGAAAAAGATATGCTAGGCAACGTGGAGGGCCAGAGAAAGAGGTTACCCTCAGCAAGATGTATTGACAGTGGGCTGTAACAATAGGCTTGAGTATATCAGAGATCCTGAGAATGACTCAGGATACAGCCCAAGTCCACCACAACTCATAACGACCTTAGGGACAACAAATGAAAGCCTTGCCATTTCTGGCACCATCCTCACAATCTCCACCATGCCCTCAGTACAAGAGCCTCTGTGCAAGGTTATTCATAGGGTTGCTGTGAGTTGTAGTCAACTGGCCCAAACCAACAGCAAAGAGTAAAATATGATGGGACTTAACTCTTTTTTTTTTTTAAATAGCATTCAGTTTATTACAAATATTTAGTATTGGCTTCCCATATTTTCCCCCTTTTGTTTTTATCATAATTATGTTATCATCTAGATGAGCAAGGGACTTAACTCTTTTAACCTGAGAAGTTTGTCCCTCCCCAGGTTCTCTACTTATCACCTCAGCTCACCAAGGACCCTCAGCTTATTTACTTTTTAATTTATCAGCCTCTCATCCTCTGAGGAGTTCTTTACATCCTTATTTAGAATCACTCTGGTTTCTTCTGTCTTGAAAAAGCTCCTTTGACTATCCTTCATCCCTGTTAATTAGCAAGTTTTAGTGTGTACTGTTCTCCTGGCACTGTGATCAGCCCTATGGATATGTCTGTGATTTAAAAGACTAACACTAGCGGAGTTGTCAGCCAAGTTGAAGAATTACTAGTTAAAGAATTACTAGTAGATGTAAAATTACTATTGATGTGTTGTTAGGTGCTGTCAAGTTGAATATGACCCCTAGTGACCCATGAGCAACAGGTCTGTACCCTGGCCTGGCCTGTGCTATTCCCACAGTTTCTGACACACTTAGAGCCCATTGCACCAGTCACTATGTCAATCCATCTGTTTGAGTCTCTTCTACCTTCCCAAGCATGATTTCCATAGCCTCTCCTAGCAACATGCCCAAAGTATGTAAAACACAGCATTATCATTCTTGCCTCCAAAGAACACTTTGGCTGGAATTTCTCCAAGATATATTTATTTGTTCTTTTGGCAGTCCATGGTGTCTTCAGCACTCTTCTCCAACACCATAGTTCAAAGACATCAATTCTTCTTCCATCATCTTTATTCATTGTCAAGCTTTCATATGCATAGTAAGTGATTGAAAAGACCTTGGCCTGAATCAGGTACACCCTAGTCTTCAAACTGTCATCATTGATCTAATAATTCAGAGAGGTTCCTCAACTGCAGACTTTTTCAGTATGATATACCTCCTGATCTCCTGACTGCTGGTACCAAGTGTACTTATTGTGGGTTCAAGTAAGATGAAATAGTTAACACCTTCCATCTTTTCTCCAGCTATCATAATGTTGCCTGTTGGGCCAGTGGTAAGAATTTTTGTTTTTTCGATGTTGAGATTGAATCCGTGTTGATTTTCTGCAGCAAGTGCCTCAAGTTCTCCTTACTTTTCAGCAGAGAAGGTTATGTCATATGCATACTGAAGGTTATTGATGAGTCTTCCTCCAAAATTATGCCATATCCCTCTTTATAGAGTCCAGTTTCTTGAATAATTTTCTTACCATACAGATTGTATAGATATGGAGAAAGGATACAGTCCTGATGCATTCCTTTCTTAATTTTAAACCCTATAGTGTTCCCTTGAAATATGCAGAACAGATTATCCAGGAGACTGAACTGTATGAGAAGTGTGGCATCAGGATTGGTGGAAGATTCATCAACAATCTGCGTTATGCAGATGACACAACCCTGCTTGCTGAAACTGAGGAGGACATGAAGCACTTACTGCAGAAGGTCAAAGACTATAGCCTTCAATATGGATTGAGGCTCAATATCAAGAAGACAAAGATTCTCACCACCGGGACAATTGGCAGCATGAGGATGGATGGTGAAGAGATTGAGATTGTGCACAGCTTTAGTTTGCTTGGCTCCACAGTCAACACTCTTGGCACCAGCAGCCAGGAAATGAGAAGACATATTGCGATGGGAAAGTCTGCTATTAGGGACCTCTCCAAAGTGCTGAAGAGCAGTGGTGTCAGTCTGGAGACTAAGGTGTGCCTGATACAGGCCATGGTCTTTACAGTCACTTGCTATGTGTCATGTGTCATAGAGTTGGACAGTGACTAAGGAGGATCGAAGGAGAATTGATGCCTTTGAGCTGTGGTTCTGGAGAGGAGTATTGAATATACTATGGACTGCTAAGAAAACAAACAGGTTCATCCTAGAGAGGGTTAAACCAGGGTGCTTCTTGGAGGCAAAGATTCTGAGGCTTTGTCTGACATACTTTGGACATGTTGCAAGGAGGGACCAGTCTTTGGAGAAAGATATCGTGGTTGGGAGGGTGGAGGAACAGTGCAGGAGAGGAAGACCCTCTATGAGGTGGATTGATTTGGTGACTGGGGTAATGGAGGTAGATGTGTCGGAGACAGTAAGGTTGGCACAGGATAAGACAGGGTTTAGGACTGTTGTATATAGGGTTGCTATGAGTCGCAGGTGACTCAATGGCACATAACAACAGTGTTCCCTTGCTCTGTTCACACAACAGTTTCTTGGTCTAAAGTTTACACGAGCACAATTAAGTGTTCTGAGACCCCTGTTCTTCTCAATGATACCCATAATTTGTTATGATCCACACAGTCAGATGCCTTTGCAAAGTTATTAAAATGCAAATAGCATCCAAATACTTCTCCAACAGGGTAAAAACGGAAGCCACTGACTGGGAAAAAGTATTTTGTAATGGCATATCAGATAAGGGACTTATATCCAGAATTTATAAAATACTTGAGCACCACAACAAGATAAAGGTAAATAACCCAACTGAAAAATGGGCACAGGATATGAGCAGACACTTTAACAAAGAAGACATTCAGATGGCTAACAAGCACATGAAGACATGTTCAAAATCCCTAGCTCTAAGAGAAATGCAAATCAAAACAACTATGAAATATCATCACACCTCAGTCAGAATAGCAAAACTTAACAGAACGGCAAGCAACAAATGCTGGTGAGGTTGTGGAGAAACTGGAACCCTTATTAGCTGTTGGTGGGAATGTAAAATGGTGTAACCACTGGAGAAGGCAGTATGGCACTTTCTCAAAAGATTGCAAATAGAGATACCATTTGACCCAGAAATTCCACTACTGGGAATATACCCCAAAGAGACCATAACTGACATCCAAGCAGATATATGCACACCCGTGTTTACTGTGGCTTTGTTCACAATAGCAAGGAGTTGGAAACAACCTAAGTGCCCATCAACAAATGACTGAATAGAGAAGCTGTGGTATATTCATACAGTGGAATACTACGCTGCATTGAAAAACAAGGAACTCATGCAATATTATTCAAAATGGGTGATTGGAGGACATTATGCTTAGTGAAGTATCTCAGTCACAAAAGGACAAATCTATATTTCGTGCACAGTTTGAGGGGAGAGCATCTTTGTGTTGTCAAATGGTCAATTCTTGCCCTTATTATTAATTAAGTGCAAGGAGATCATCCCCTTTACAGATTTAATCACTGTGGAAGAAGAAGGAAAAAAAAAGTGGGGAGAGGGGAAAGGGTTGTGGGAAGAGTGGGCAGCCCAGGCTGTTGAAGTTTTAGAAACTGGCAAATAACCTTTTGTGTAAATTCTTTTAAGTTCAAAATGCAGAGAAGGCTCTTTTAACTATGCTTCTAGATTCCACAGCTGCTGCCATTTAAATGCTAATAAAGGGTTTCTACAGTCTTAAAAAAAAGGACAAATACTGCATGGTGCCACTGTTGTAAAACAGGACTGACCTCAGGATTGGGGGGAGATTGAGAAAGATGGGTTCAATAATGTATACTGCATTGAAACAGATAAGGGAGAAAACTGTTTAAAAGGGTTATGTGATTAGGTATTTTTGTCATGACAGGAGTCCAGAGCGAAGACTGCATAACGTAGTGGACCTGGGGGGAGGGATTGTAAAATAATGAAAGAATTTTTCTTTTACTTTTCACAAGAGGGTAAGTGCAACAATGAATGAATGGAAATCCAAAGTCTGTAAATTTTCATTGAAATGAATACTTTTTTTTTTAACATTTTTTTTTTTTTTTAGTTTTATTTTATTTTTGTGTGAGTGTACAGATCTGACTGGTACAGGAGGAGATTGTCCCTCCATATCCCGCAGAGCATCTGGTGGATTCGAACCATGTGCCTCTGGGATTGTAGTTGCAGCTCCTTGCCACTAGGCCACCAGAGCTCCCCTGAAATGAATACATTTTTTTTTAAGAAAACCCTGCAAATAGACATTCTTTTGGTATTCT